TTCCAGTTTGTCAGTGTCCTTCTTGAATTGTGGTGCCCAGAACTGGACACAGTACTCCAGGTGAGGTCTGACCAGAGCAGAATACAGTGGCACTATTACTTCCCTTGATCTAGATGCTAGACTCCTATTGAGGCAGCCCAGAATTGCATTGGCTTTTTTAGCTGCCGCGTCACACTGTTGGCTCATGTCAAGTTTGTGGTCAACCAAGACTCCTAGATCCTTTTCACATGTACTGCTCTCAAGCCAGGTGTCCCCCATTTTGTATTTGTGCCTCTCATTTTTTTTGCCCAAGTGCAATACTTTACATTTCTCCCTGTTAAAATTCATCTTGTTTGTTTTTGCCCAGTTCTCTAAACTGTCAAGGTCGTTTTGAAGTGTGATCCTGTCCTCTGGGGTGTTTGCCACCCCTCCCAGTTTGGTGTCATCTGCAAATTTGATCAGGATGCCCTTGAGTCCATCATCCAAGTCGTTGATAAAGATGTTGAATAAGACCGGGCCCAAGACAGAACCCTGTGGCACCCCACTAGTCACTCTTCTCCAGGATGAAGAGGAACCATTGATGAGCACCCTTTGGGTTCGGTCAGTCAGCCAGTTACAAATCCACTGAGTGGTAGCATAGTCAAGACCGCATTTTACCAGCTTCTTTACAAGAATATCATGGGGCACCTTGTCAAATGCCTTGCTGAAATCAAGGTAGGCTACATCCACTGCGTTCCCTTCATCTACCAGGCTTGTAATTCTGTCAAAAAACGAGATCAGGTTAGTCTGACATGACTTATTTTTCAGAAATCCATGCTGACTATTGGTGATCACAGCATTCCTTTCTAGGTGCTCACAGACTGTTTGCTTAATGATCTGCTCCAGAATCTTCCCTGGTATTGATGTCAGACTGACTGGGCGGTAATTATTTGGGTCCTCTCTTTTCCCCTTTTTGAAAATAGGGACAACATTTGCCCTCCTCCAATCTGCCGGGACTTCGCCTGTTCTCCAGGAATTCTCAAAGATGACTGCCAGTGGTTCTGAGATCACATCTGCCAGTTCTTTTAATACTCTTGGATGCAGTTCATCTGGCCCTGGAGACTTGAATACATCTAAACTAGCCAAGTATTCTTGTACTATCTCCTTAGTTATTCTGGGCTGTGTTTCCTTTGCTGAATCATTTGCTCCAAATTCTTCAGGTTGGGCATTGTTTTCTTTATCGGAGAAGACTGAAGCAAAGAAGGCATTGAGGAGTTCAGCCCTTTCTGTGTCCCCTGTTTGCATTTCACCATCTTCTCCTCTGAGTGACCCCACTGTTTCTTTGTTCTTCCTTTTGCTATGGACATACCCATAAAAGCCTTTTTTGTTGCTTTTAACCTCTCTAGCAAGCCTGAGTTCATTCTGTGCTTTAGCTTTCCTGACTTTGTGTCTACACGTGCTGGCTATTTGTTTGAATTCCTCTTTGGTGGTTTCCCCCCTTTTCCATTTTTTGTACACATCCTTTTTTAATCTTAACTCAGTTAAAAGTTCTTTAGATAGCCACCCTGGCTTCTTTAGGCACCTTCCATGTTTCCGTCTCATTGGTATTGCCTGACGTTCTGCTTTTACTATCTCCCTCTTAACAAACTCCCAGCCATCATGAACTCCCTTTCCTTTTAGTATTACTGTCCATGGGATTTCACCCAGCACTTCCCTAAGTTTTATGAAGTCGGCTTTCTTAAAGTCAAGAAATTGAGTCCTAGTATGCTTGGCTGCTCCTTTCCGCTGTATAGTAAACTTCAGAAGAGCATGATCACTCGTGCCTAATGATCCTTCCACTTCTACCCCACTAACCAGGTCATCAACATTGGTTAGGACGAGATCTAAAATGGCTGTTCCTCTTGTTGCTTCTCCCACTTTCTGGACAATGAAGTTGTCTGCAAGGCCAGTGAGGAATCTGTTTGACCTTATGCTCTTGGCTGAGTTTGACATCCAACAAATATCCGGGTAATTGAAGTCCCCCATTACTACTATCTCCCTTCCTTTTGCATGCTTGGCCATCTGTTCCAGGAAGGCATCATCTATGTCCTCCGTTTGGCTTGGGGATCTATAGTAAACTCCCACAATGAGGTCTCTGTTATTCTTCTCTCCCTTAATTTTGACCCAAATGCTCTCACTTTGGCTTTGAGGTTCTAAATCTTGGATCTCTTCACAGGTATACACATCCCTGACATATAACGCCACTCCTCCCCCTTTCTTGTCTGGTCTGTTTCTCTTAAATAGATTGTATCCCTCCATTATTACATTCCAATCATGGAACTTATCCCACCAGGTTTCAGTGATGCCTATTATGTCATATTTAGTTTGCTGTACCAAGAGCTCAAGCTCATCTTGTTTATTTCCCATGCTTTGCGCATTAGTGTACAGACATTGAAGTCCATTAATCATTCCCCCGTGTCTCTTATTTAAGGATTTTTTCCTCCCACCACTAGGTCTGCATGCTGTTTGCTCCATTTGGTCTATGACATTTGGATGATCATCTTCATCAATTGATAGACTCCTACCTTCAGGAGCATTGTCTCCCTCCCCCACATTAGTCAGTTTAAAGCCCTCCTGATGAGGTTTCTGAGATTTTTGGCAAAAACATTCCTCCCAACCGTTGTGAGGTGCAGCCCATCGCTTGCCAGAAGTCCATCTTCAAGAAACTGCATTCCGTGATCTAAGAATCCAAACCGTTCCTGTTTGCACCATTTGCGAAGCCAGCTGTTCACTTCCACTATTTTTCCCTCTCTCCCTGGGCCACGTCGTTCAACTGGGAGGACAGATGAGATGACAATTTGTGCATTTAGTTGCTTCAATTTCCTGCCGAGAGCCTCGTAGTCTCTTTTGATCTTCTGGAGGCTATTGCTTGCAGTGTCATTGGTTCCCACATGAACCAAGAGGAAGGGGTATTTGTCAGTGGGTTTTATGATTCCTTGCAGTCGTTCAGTTACATCTTGGATCTTAGCCCCGGGGAGACAGCACACTTCCCGAGACATCTTGTCAGGCCCACAGATCACTGCTTCTGTTCCCCTCAGTAGGGAATCCCCTATCACCACTACACGCCTCCTCTTAGGTCTGGTCGGGGTTCTTCCGTGAGCTGTCCGTTCCAAGGTCGCCTGCACATTCCCTGAGGACTGACTTTGCTGGTCGTCTTCATATACCTGATCGACTGTAATGAGGGAGAGATCCTCAAATGGAGTGTGCTCTTCGTCTTCCATGCTAGGGGAGAGGACCTCAAAGCGATTGCGTATTTCTAAACAATCAGAGCGAACCCTGGGCCTCCTACTTCTTTGAGTCACGTTTCTCCATATATCTGGCTCCTGTGTTGGTGAGCTAGCCTCCTTCACAGGGGAGTCCCCTGTCTCCTCCTTGGTGGAGACGGTGTGCTCTGTTGCTTCCAAGAAGAGCTCCAGCTCTCTAATTCTTTGGAGCGTAGCTACACGTTCCTCCAGTTGCTGGACTTTGTCTTTTAAGAGAGCAATCAGCAGGGCAAAGCCTCCCCTCTCTTTTAAATCTGTTAACAACTTAAATTTTATTCTCGGCTTTTTGCCCTGCCAGATATATCTTGAAATCACTTTTTGCCACTCTTTAAATATTGCAACTCCTTTAATTATTGGAATTACTTGGAACAAAAACACCATTTTCGGTAACACACTCATCTTTATCGTTGCAATTCTTCCCCAAAATGATAATTCCATTCTACCCCACACCTCTAAGTCTCGTTTAACTTTATTCCATACTGGTACATAATTTGAAACAAGTCAATATTTCTGGGAGTCAATACAATCCCTAAATATTTCACTTTCTTTACCACCTCAATCTCAGTCTCTTGCTGTATTCTTTCACTAATTTCTTGGTCTATGTTTCTCACCATTATTTTGGATTTTTTCTTATTCAATTTAAAACCTGCCACCTGTCCAAATTCTTCTATTTCTTTTAATACCTCTTTAATACTCTTTATGGGATCTTCTATCGTTATAACCAAGTCATCAGCAAATGCCTTTACTTTATATTGATTACGGCCAACTGACACACCTTTTATCCGTTCATTGTTTCTTATTGAGTTTAGTAAGACTTCCAGGACTGATATGAATAACAACGGTGATAAAGGACACCCTTGTCTTGTACCCTTAGTTATTGCAATATTTTCCGTTATTACATTATTAACAATTAATTTTGCTCTTTGCGGAATGAATTAAGTTCTTAACCCGAGGTACCACTGTAAATGTGCCAGGAAACAAGAAACAATTCTTTTTTTATTTTTTTCATTTTTATTGTTGTTATGTTTTTATGTTGTGTCAAGTGTAATGTTTTACTTTTGTGTTAATGTCTATGCATTATATGAGAAAAACCAATAATTTTTTTTGGGGGGGGAATGAAATACTGCTGCAGCACCCTGTTTTGCACTAAGTAACTGACTCGGGTGGGGAACAGAAAGTGGCTGGAGTAGATTTGCCTGTGGGGAAGTGTTGGTGGATGAGCCATTAAGCAGGTCCCTCCTATCCATGAAGCTTCCTAAGTGAATCTTGACCACCAAGGAGTTGCTTGTGCCTGTGCAACTTCATTCAGAGCAGTGCTGTTACATTGGATGTGAAAGTGATCTGTCGCATTGGGCATGAAATTGGTTGCCTAACCTGTTAGCTTTGAATAGGAAAGAGAAATTTGTGTGTATACTGAGAAATCAGAACAGTTGCACAGTAAGAAATAGATGTCACAACATTATACATTCAGGAAATAATTTTTACTGTCCCCCCCCCCTTCATTCTAGATACAGTTTCTTGACTAAAATGCTGTTTACTCCTTGGCGTATACTGTGATGCTTTTATCTCACTTATAGGCACTATCCTCTGAATTTGAGAATTTTGCTTCTGGTGTAATTCTTCTCAAAGCAAAATTGTACTAATTGATGCTCTTTGATTTGACAGGCAAGACATTTCACTGTGGGCTACACAAGGATTTGTAGAAAATGTCATGTTAAATTTCTGCATTTACATTTGCAGAAGCTGACAGCGGCTTTAGAACAGAAGCCAGATGATGCAGAGAATTACTGTCAACGAGCTTTTGCTCACATTCTTCTACAAAATTACCATGGTAACATCTCTTTATTTGGTGCTGTTATATCCCAAAATGCTAAAATGTTTTAGAGTTAATGATGGTCTAAAATTTGATTTCATACAGTCAAAGAATTGCCGTATTGCAGAGTTGGAAGGGTCCCTGAGGGTCATTTAGCTAACCCCTTGCAATGCAGGGCTTTCGTTTCTTTTTTGCTCCCCTCCCCCGCCAGCACATTAGTAGGCTTTGCTTGTGTATTTCACAAAATAACTGCTTGGAATGCACACAGTTTGTGTCTTTGCCTGATATTTTCACCTCATCACACCTCTGTGCTAGATATAGTTACTTCAAAATCAATTCCGTTGGTTGGTTCCAAACTGGGTAATAAGCAAGCAGAAGGCATTTCTACCCTCACAATATCAATGGTGTTTCTCCCGTTTTTGGCACCTTTCCAGTCCCCTATGGCTTACATGCCATTCTGGTCCTCTAACTTCTGGAGCAGATTTGGGCTTGTCATCAAGAAGCTCAGTTCAGCTGTAACTCTTCATGTGTCCTGAACAATGAGAATTTCATTGTGGTGGATAGGGTAAGCCCCTGTTGTGTAAACCAGTGATGATCTCAGCACAGGGGGAAACCAGTTGTGTGTCGAGGGTTGGATGCAGGCCACAGCCACCTGACCCACTCATGGTGAGAGCCTCTAGCGGGTGTGATAAAGAATCACTGGGCAAAAGTGGGGGAGGAAATGGTTGGGTCTGCCCATTGCATTGTCTGTGTTCTTTTACTGTTAATTAGGCATGGCATAGGGGAATTACGTGGGTGGCAGCCATCTGCGCTTTTTATTTTTTATTAATATTAAAATTTGCATACTGCCCTACACCCACAGGTAGCAGGGCGGTTCACAACATAAAATCACAATATAGAAACATGAAAGACATAAGTAAAAATAAAAACAAGAACAACCCAATAATCCCCCTTCTCCAACACATTTTAAAAGCAGATTGTATGTCAATCAACCAAAGGCCTGGTTAAAAAGTTTTCACCTGGCACCTAAAGGTGTATAATGAGGGCACCAGACGAACCTCCCTGAGGACAGCATTCCACAAATGGGGAGCCACTGCAGAAAAGGCCCATTCTTGTGTTCACCAGTATGCAGACTATACCAAGCTCGACCTCTTGTTTAAATCGGAACCAGTGAACTTCTTGTGTGGATGTGAACTTCTTGTGTGGATATCTGGAGGCGGTTACGGGGTGGATGGCAGCCAGTGGATGGAATTAGTGGTTCTGGGAGACAGAGCAAGCAGGTGTGGGGGATTCCCTGGTCCTGAAGGACCAGGTGCACAGCCTGGGAGTCATTTTGGACTCACAACTGTCCATGGAGGCATGGGTCAATTCTGTGTCCAGGGCGGCTGTCTACCAGCTCTGTCTGGTACACTGGCTGAGACTCTTCCTGCCCGCAGGCTGTCTCGCCAGAGTGGTAATGCTCTGGGTATCTCCCGCTTGAACTACAGTGCTCTACATGGGGCTACCTTTGAAGGTGACATGGAAACTACAACTAATCCAGAATGTAGTTACCAGGCTGGTGACTGGAAGCAGCCGCTGGGACCATAACACTGGCCCTAAAGGATCAATACTGGCTCCCAGTACGTTTCTGAGCACAATTCACAATGTTGGTGCTGACCTTAAAGCCCTAAATGGCCTCAGCCCTGTATGCCTGAAGTATCTCCACCCACATCATCCAGCCCAGATAATGAGGTCCAGCTCTGAGGGTCTTCTGGTTGTTCCCTCACTGCAGAAGTGAGGTTACAGGGAACTAGGAAGAGGGCCTTCTCAGTAGTCAAGCCCACCCTGTGGAATGCCCTCCCGTCAAATGTCAAGGAAATAAACAGTTACTTGGCTTTTAGAAGACATCTGATGGCAACCCTGTATAGGGAAGTTTTTAATTTTTGAAGTTTTATTGTGCTTTTATAATTTTTGGAAGCCGTCCAGAGTGTCTGGGGCAACCCAGCCAGATGGGTGGAGTATAAATACTACGACTACTACTACTACTACTACTCTTGTATATCTATCTTTTCTAGCTGATTTATTATGTACTGTACTTGTTTGTCATAACAGCTCCATATTTGAAACTGATACTACTAATCTAAATAAGATTCAGAAAACTTTAGATGCAGGTTTTGCCTTCTTCCTAGAATAGCTTGTTTATATTTTATTTCTAATATATGTAGTTGCCACCCATTAACTGACTATTCTAGTATGAGGAAACCTGTGTGAAGTATTGAGGAAAGACAGAATTAGTGTGGTTTAATAGTGAGTGAAATAATGCAATACTTAAAAATTTAATAACCTTTTTTTGTAGATGCCATTGCAGATGCAAAGAAGTCACTATCACTTGATGCCAGTAATGCTGTAGCCTTTCTCAGACAAGGGTGAGTGTTTATTTTATGAATCGTATGCAGGTGTTTTTAGTTTCCCAATTTTGTGAAGATCTTGTTGACTTTCTTGCAAAGGTGCTTTTGTATGGGGAGAATCACTGGCATTCACACAAGTTGCCCTCCCCCCAACTTTTGCCACACACTCCCCCCACCATTGTGGCTTCCTGAGAAGTTGTTCCTTGGGAATGGTGTGGAATGTGGGTGCAATGGGTAGGGGGGTTGGAGAGAACTGGGGCCTTGCTTTACAAAATTGGAAGTGTATTCTTTTCTCAAAATAGTACTTTTGGATAAATATTTAGAATATTTACCTGGACCTATTTATGATTTCTGTAGCAATTTAATACAAGTTCATTCAAGATTCTTGATTGCAAGTCACAGACCAAGTAAAACTAAGGATTCTTTTAATTATTAAATAATTGAAATGTTTATAAGGTTTGACTGTTCCTCTGCATTAATAGGAGTGAATTGTCAATCAATTACTGAACTTTATAATGTTGGTAGATCCTGCTTAACAAATATTGGCATTTTCTCCCCTTACGTGTACATCAGGGTAGGTGAATACCATATGAAAGACTATGATTCTGCACTGAAGTCTTTCAGGGAAGGACAACAACTGGACAGTAAGTATGAACGTTCAAACTGATATGCCACTTCATAGTTTAAACCATGCTCAAAGTGGCTGACAACATTTTAAAAATCACATAATTACAAACATAAAGTAGTTATCACAAATAATGCTTTGAAAAGCTCTAAATTAAAGATGCAAAAAAATAATATTGGTAACAGCAAACCCCCCCCCCAATGATACAACAGCCCAAGAGTCTGATCAGCAGCTTCAGTTTTTGTAGGTGGGGTCAGTCAGGGTCTCACCCTCCCAGGCCAGGTGAAAAACACCCGCCAGACAGAGCAGGTCTTCCAGGACTAACAGCCAAGATCACAACACCATCATTACAGTGAATCATATTGTAGTTAGGCAGCCCAATAACAAACCTAGGTGATCCTTCATGCGATTCTCTCCCCTCCCCTGTAACTGTGAAGAGGAGATCAGAAGCTTAATCTTAACTAACGTTAAGGAAAACAAGCCACCTTTATAAACTATGGTTTAAAGTTGGCTTGTTTTCACTAACCATAATTAAAGTTAACCAACCATAGTTTGCTAGAGTGTAGATGACATCCAGTTTGCATACCCTCCATGATAGATGTCATCTTTTTGGACTTAAATGAAATCTGATCACCAAACTATTTAAGTAGCATTGAAAGCTGGAACAACATTGAGTGCCTTTGTCAATTGGTTCAATATTGAATGCTTTTTAAATTTGTAATCAAAAAAGTTTTTCTGTAATCCAGAGTTGAATACAATATCTCAAAGTTAACTGCTGATAGGTTGATATTGTCACGGGTAGGTTACTTGTGTGTGACTGAGAGCCACACTTTTTGCCACTTAAGGAGCAACACAGGAAGCCAGTGTGAAGCAGCCGTGGCATATGTTAAACCAGCATAAGGTGCATCAGATCCAGACTCTGTTCAAGAAATTACTGCCTAAGCATGGCAGAGAGAAAAAAAGCCTTTTGAGTTACATCACCCTTCTTGCCAGCTGAACTTATGGCAGTTTGCCAGGCCACTTGACTGAGCTCAATGGTATTAGGATCCAGCTCAAGCCTGCCCCATTCCTGGAACACCCTTTTTTCAGGACTTAAGATCCCCTGGGCCCAGCTGCCCTGGGAACCTCCCAGCACAACTAGATTTCCACTTCTGCTCCTCCTGGCAGATACAGTGGTGCCCCGCAAGACGAATGCCTCGCAAGACGGAAAACCCGCTAGACGAAAGGGTTTTCCGTTTCTGAGTTGCTTTGCAAGACGATTTTCCCTATGGGCTTGCTTTGCAAGACGAAACGTCTTGCTAGTCTTGCGATTTCCCCCCCGCTTTCCCCCCCTTTTTCTAAGCCGCTAAGCCGCTAATAGCCTTTTAGCAGCTTAGCCGCTAATCCTTTAATAGCCACTAAACCGCTAACAGCGCTAATCCGCTTAGCCGCTGTCAGAGCTGCCTCCAGGTCCCAGCTCACAGAGGACCAACGCTAGCCGGTAGTAATGTACAAAAGTCTTTATTGAAGTACAGTTTCCATTTTCAAGCCGCAGCGCGCAGCTCCACGTCTTAGAAGCTAGACCGGCGAAGCTCCATCTGAGTCTCCACCCCCTGTACACCAGTTTAAGACTCTAACCTTACTCCACCTCTTCCGTCTCTCCTTTCTCCTCTGGGTCCTTCTGCCCCCCGGGGTCCCCTCCTTTCTGGACTCTTCTGACGCTGACCCCCCTGACTCCTCTCCCTCCTTTCGGGGGGCTTTAGGACCTGGCTCCCTATCCGGGCTACCAACTGCGCCGCCCTCCTGTACATTTGAACTTGGCGCGTGCGCCCAGCCTCCAACCTTCCTCTTGACCATTTCCTCGCTCTCCGATGGAGGCGTGGCCAATCCTGACTCATCTCCTCCCGCTGGCGGTGAGCCGCCTGATCCCGATACCTGGGACTCCTCCCCCCTACTGCGCTCTGGTGGGGAAGCTGGTCCTGATTTCCAACTGCTGCTCTCTGAGTCCCCTCTGGCCCCTTCTTCCTGGGGTGTCCCCCTAGGCACCCCCCTTGCTCTGACCATGGGAGCCCCTTTCTGTGAATCTTCCGATTCGCTGGAAAGACTCAGAGACCTCGGGCCGCTGTCATCGCTAACATTTCCTTCGGATTCCTCCCCCTCGCTCTCTATTTCCTCCCTTTCCTGTGCCTCTGCTCCTGAGCCCCTGACAGCCGCTAATAGGGTTGCTTCGCAAGACGAAAAAACCGCTAGACGAAGAGAATCGCGGAACGGATTCTTTTCGTCTTGCGAGGCACCACTGTATTGCTATAAGTTTGCTCCCTTTGTCTTCAGTAAAAGCTAGAAAGGCTGGGAATCTCAGATTCTAGCAAGAGCCTGTGTTTGCTATGTAGACAGTTGTCACCACAGCATAAAAGCTTATCAAATCTTATAATAGATGTCATACTGCAGTAGACTATTGTGTGTTTCATCTGCTAGGTGCTGACACAGCTTTTACTATTTGGATTCAAAGATGTGAGGAAGCCATCAATGGTAAGCAGTGCTTTACTTATATGCATTCTTATGGGATGGGAAACCTCAGATGTGCCATCCTAATGGACCTTTTTCGTGTTTTCATCTATACCCTGGTAAATACTCTTCACTGAATTTTTAATGCTTTTGACCCTGCCTGCCTCAAAATCTGTGTGATATATTCCAAGTAGAATCAGGATTTACACTGCACAAGTTTCCCTGTGAAGAGGATTTATTGGGGAACAACCATCAGCAAACCTAGTTGTGAGTCGAGGACCCGCCACCTGCATAGGATTGTTGTTGTTGTTGTTTAGTCGTTTAGTCGTGTCCGACTCTTCGTGACCCCATGGACCAGAGCACGCCAGGCACTCCTGTCTTCCACCGCCTCCCGCAGTTTGGTCAAACTCATGTTGGTAGCTTCAAGAACACTATCCAGCCATCTTGTACTCTGTCGTCCCCTTCTCCTTGTGCCCTCCATCTTTCCCAACATCAGGGTCTTTTCCAGGGAGTCTTCTCTTCTCATGAGGTGGCCAAAGTACTGGAGCCTCAACTTCACGATCTGTCCTTCCAGTGACCACTCAGGTCTGATTTCCTTAAGAATGGATGCGTTTGATCTTCTTGCAGTCCATGGGACTCTCAAGAATCTCCTCCAGCACCATAATTCAAAAGCATCAATTCTTCGGCGATCAGCCTTCTTTATGGTCCAGCTCTCACTTCCATACATCACTACTGGGAAAACCATGGCTTTAACTATACGGACCTTTGTTGGTAAGGTGATGTCTCTACTTTTTAAGATGTTGTCTAGATTTGCCATCGCCTTTCTCCCAAGGAGCAGGCGTCTTTTAATTTTGTGACTGCTGTCACCATCTGCAGTGATCATGGAGCCCAAGAACATAAAATCTCTCACTGCCTCCATTTCTTCCCCTTCTATTTGCCAGGAGGTGATGGGACCAGTGGCCATGATCTTTGTTTTTTTGATGTTGAGCTTCAGACCATATTTTGCGCTCTCCTCTTTCACCCTCTTTAAGAAGTTCTTTAATTCCTCCTCACTTTCTGCCATCAAGGTTGTGTCATCTGCATATCTGAGGTTGTTGATATTTCTTCCGGCGATCTTAATTCCGGCTAGGGATTCATCCAGCCCAGCCTTTCGCATGATGAATTCTGCATATAAGTTAAATAAGTAGGGGGACAATATACAGCCTTGTTGTACTCCTTTCCCAATTTTGAACCAATCAGTTGTTCCATATCCAGTTCTAACTGTAGCTTCTTGTCCCACATAGAGATTTCTCAGGAGACAGATGAGGTGATCAGGCACTCCCATTTCTTTAAGAACTTGCCATAGTTTGCTGTGGTCGACACAGTCAAAGGCTTTTGCATAGTCAATGAAGCAGAAGTAGATGTCTTTCTGGAACTCTCTAGCTTTCTCCATAATCCAGCACATGTTTGCAATTTGGTCTCTGGTTCCTCTGCCTCTTCTAAATCCAGCTTGCACTTCTGGGAGTTCTCGGTCCACATACTGCTTAAGCCTGCCTTGTAGAATTTTAAGCATAACCTTGCTAGCGTGTGAAATGAGTGCAATTGTGCGGTAGTTGGAGCATTCTTTGGCACTTCCCTTCTTTGGGATTGGGATGTAGACTGATCTTCTCCAATCCTCTGGCCACTGCTGAGTTTTCCAAATTTGCTGGCATATTGAGTGTAGCACCTTAACAGCATCATCTTTTAAAATTTTAAATAATTCAGCTGGAATATCATCACTTCCACTGGCCTTGTTATTAGCGATGCTTTCTAAGGCCCATTTGACTTCACTTTCCAGGATGTCTGGCTCAAGGTCAGCAACCACACTACCTGGGGTATACGAGACATCAATTTCTTTCTGGTATAGTTCCTCTGTGTATTCTTGCCACCTCTTCTTGATGTCTTCTGCTTCTGTTAGGTCCTTTCCACTTTTGTCTTTTATTATGGAAATCTTTGTACAAAATGTTCCTTTCATATCTCCAATATTCTTGAACAGATCTCTGGTTTTTCCCATTCTATTGTTTTCCTCTATTTCTTTGCATTGCTCGTTTAAGAAGGTCTTCTTGTCTCTCCTTGCTATTTTTTGGAAATCTGCATTCAATTTCCTGTATCTTTCACTATCTCCCTCGCATTTTGCTTGCCTTCTCTCCCCCGCTATTTGTAAGGCCTCGTTGGACAGCCACTTTGCTTTCTTGCATTTCCTTTTCATTGGGATGGTTTTAGTTGCTGCCTCTTGTATAATGTTACGAGCCTCCATCCATAGTTCTTCAGGCACTCTGTCCACCAAATCTAAATCCTTAAACCTGTTCCTCACTTCCACTGTGTATTCATAAGGGATTTGACTTAGATTGTATCTTACCGGCCCAGTGGTTTTTCCTACTTTCTTCAGTTTAAGCTTGAATTTTGCTATAAGAAGCTGATGATCTGAGCCACAGTCAGCTCCAGGTCTTGTTTTTGCTGACTGTATAGAGCTTCTCCATCTTTGGCTGCAGAGAATATAATCAATCTGATTTCGATGCTGCCCATCTGGTGATGTCCATGTGTAGAGTCGCCTCTTGTGTTGTTGGAAAAGAGTGTTTGTGATGACCAGCTTGTTCTCTTGACAGAACTCTATTAGCCTTTGCCCTGCTTCGTTTTGAACTCCAAGGCCAAACTTGCCAGTTTTTCCTTTTATCTCTTGACTCCCTACTTTAGCATTCCAATCCCCTATTATGAGCAGAACATCCTTCTTTGGTGTCACTTCTATAAGGTCTTGTAAGTCTTCATAGAATTGGTCAATTTCAGTTTCTTCAGCACCAGTAGTTGGTGCATAAACTTGGATTACTGTGATGTTAAAAGGTCTGCCTTGGATTCGTATCGAGATCATTCTATCATTTTTGAGATTGCATCCCAGTACAGCTTTCACCACTCTTTTGTTGACTATGAGGGCCACTCCATTTCTTTTACGGGTTTCTTGTCCACTGTAGTAGATATGATAGTCATCCGAACTGAATTCGCCCATTCCCGTCCATTTTAGTTCACTGATGCCCAAGATGTCAATATTTATTCTTGCCATCTCATTTTTGACCACATCCAACTTACCCAGGTTCATGGTTCTTACATTCCAGGTTCCTATGCAATATTTTTCTTTACAGCATTGGACTTTCCTTTCGCTTCCATGCATATCCGCAACTGAGCGTCCTTTCGGCTTTGGCCCAGCCGCTTCATCAGCTCTGGATCTACTTGTACTTGTCCTCCGCTCTTCCCCAGTAGCATGTTGGACACCTTCCGACCTGAGGGGCTCATCTTCCAGCGTCATAACTTTTATATGCCTGTTGTCTTTGTCCATGGAGTTTTCTTGGCAGGGATACTGGAGTGGCTTGCCAGTTCCTGCTCCAGGTGGATCACGTTTGGTCAAAACTCTCCACTATGACCTGTCCATCTTGGGTGGCCCTGCACGGCATAGCTCATAGCTTCTCTGAGTTATTCAAGCCCCTTCGCCACGGCAAGGCAGTGATCCATGAAGGAGGATTATAGGATTATAATAAGACACAAAAACACATTATTTTAGGTTAATGGGAAAAATTAGGCCACAACTTTATTGGTTACAGCATGTGAGTAATATTGCCTTAGGCATTGGATAAAACAGCAACACATGACTCCACCCCTCTCAGCAGGGAGTCATTTCGGGTTAACAACCTGTGGGAGAAGCTTGTTGATGCAAATACAACTGGAAGCTTCCCCATGATGTCACCGGAGGTCGTGCCATGGCCCTAGCCACCAGTAGGGCATTGGACAGGATCCACGACCGCCGGATTCCTTTAACAGAATACCCCAAAGAGGAGGGGTAGATGATGGCCCATACCCAATCCTCCAACACAGCACACCTATTCCAATGCCTAACCGCCAATACCAGAAAGTTGTGATGAGTTGCTACGAGGTAGACGAGAAAACCAAGAGGCTGGTGCCACATTGCCAAATGGATAAAAAAAGTCCTACCACTCCAACCGAAGTCCATAGCAAGGTCAATACGCAAAGGAAGCTGACCAAAGAGGGAGGGAGGGAGATCCGATGCAAGCAGGAACTGACTGGGGTCAGAGAGCTGCCGTGCCTGCTTAAATGCAGCTAACCCCACCCACCAGCCGGCCCTTTTGGCCGACTGAAAGGCTTGGCCGCAGCAGCAGAGGCAATCAGAAGCAGGGAGCTGGATACGCCTCCCTGCCGCTGCGGGAAGCTGCTCCCACTCACAACTCCTCCCCTCTGGGAGGAGGAGAGGCCTTGTAGAACCTGCCAAGTGGGTTACGAGATCTAGTGCAACACTTGTTTTTCCAAATAACTTACAAATACATAAATATATTCATATTTACGATTAGGGTGGCAACATGTATGTGTGTGAGCATGCAAGTGGTTTGTATACAAAAAGGTGTGACTTTCAGAAAATGTGTGGTAGAGAGACATTGCAATTATAGACTGAATTTATTTTCAACCTTTCTATCTTGCTTCTGCCATAGAATGGTCTCAAGGTAGCTTACAATAATATAGCACAACAAAATGCAATACAATGAAATCAAAAAGAAAAGAGAGCAGATCAACTTCTAAACAAGTATAAACCAGTGATGTAAGTCCGTTAAAATATCTTACACACAGCTGAAAGCCTGAAAGAACAGTGTGCACTTTGCCTGATGCCTAAAGAATAACAGAGATGCTGCTGGTCAGAGAAGTCTAAAAAAATTATTTTGTAAAAAATTACAAACTGGAAGTGGTACTCCAGGGTCCAAGAATGTTCCTTACAGTTGCCAGAATTTCTTCTATAAATGTATGGTATTTTATTAATTGGGTTTTGGGTTACTTCTTAAATGTACAGATTTCTGTCATAGACGCTGAAATTACTGAATATTTGCTTTGATTTTATTATTCTTCCCTTGTATTTTGAATGGAGAATAAAGAAACCTATACCTAAATGCAGTAATTAGGGGGTGTTCTGTTTTAAGAAGCTAGGGACAGCACACATAGATCTTGTACGCATTTCAAAGCTTAGTTTAAATCTGATGGGAAATATGAAAGATATATAACTTTGAATTGACTGTTTCTGCACATCCCAGTGAGAATATGGAGATAATATTTTCCTCTTTGAGAAATAAAACCCTTCTCAAACTCTTTAAAGTGAAGCAAGGTAGCCAAGTAAGAGTCAAAAGAGCAGTCATTTTCTACTTATTTGACAGACAAAATATTCTCTTCAAGCAGTTTTATGATTCCTACAAGGAACTTCAGTTCAAAATTCTACAGGCAAAAATTCAGCCACACACACACACACACACACACACACACACACAAATTCAGCCACACACATGTTTAAAGAGTGCTAGAAGTGCCTAATGTTGTTCTCCTTTATTTGGCTAATTATTTTAAACCACGTAGTAGACACAGAAGTGAAATAGTGATTCAAAATGGAGTTTGTGAGTTAACTGCAACCATTTGAACTTCAAGTACTTCATAATATTTGGCATTTCTGTAACACATTTCATATGTTCTGAAACCTCACATCAGCTCATTAATCCTTACTGTAGCCCTTTATGGTAGGCCAATACGATAAAAGAATTGGCAGAACATTCCCTTTAGTGAGCTGGAGGAAGACATAAAGACTAACAACAACAAAGGTAAAGGACCCCTGGACGGTTAAGTCCAGTCAAAAGCGACTGTGGGGTGTGGCACTCATCTCCCTTTCAGGCTGAGGGAGCCGGCATTTGTCCACAGACAAATTTCCAGGTCATGTGGCCAGCAGACTAAACTGCTTCTGGTGCAGCGGAACACCATGACGGAAGCCAGAGCACACAGAAACTGTGTTTACCTTCCTGCCACAGTGGTACCTATTTATCTACTTGCACTTTGACGTGCTTTTGAACTGGTAGGTTAGCAGGAGCTGGGACGGAGCAACGGGAGCTCACCCTGTTGCTGGGATTCGAACTGCTGACCTTCCAACCAGCAAGCCCAAAAGGCTCAGTGGTTTAGACCACAGCGCCACCCATGTCCCTAACACTTCAGTTGCTGCATACTTTCTGCTTTTCTGCAGTTTGGGATGCAACATTTTACTGCCTGAGTCAAGCAAAGGATAAATCAGTGTTACATTGTACTACAGTGCCAGTGTTCAGATGAGTATGGTAGTTTTTTTATTGATTTCTTATTTGCATTTTTAATAAATTTATAAACAATAAACAATGTTGCTGATTTCCAGTTTGTGGCCAATGAGAGCAGGTGTCTTAACAGTTTAATACAAAGTGAGTAATTCCATTGTGTTTGACCAAACTGCGGGAAGTAGTGGAGGACAGAGGTGCCTGGTGTGCTCTGGTCCATGGGGTCATGAAGAGTCGGACACGACTAAACGACTAAACAACAACAACAACAAATTCCATTGTGTGGCATGAGTGGTTCATTCCAGGTTTAGCTGTTTTCTTTCAGTTGATTGATTGATTGGACTTTCCACAATGAGCTGTGCCCAAAGTGGCTTATAGCAGACATTCAAAACATCAAAATACAGTAAAATCAAAATAACAAAATCAACAATTTAGCAATCACAGAATAAATTCAATATTACAAAAAACAAACAAACCAATTTAGGCTTAAGTACATAAATACAAAACAAAAATGAAAGTTTACCAACAATAAAGTTTATTTATTGGTCTTTTTCTTTTATTGAAAAAGAAATGAAGTTACAAATTAGAATTCACAGAAAAAAGTCTCTAATAAGAGAAAGTAATAATATGGTTGATCATAAATCATAAAAGATCTCAACTTTTCAAATAACAAGACCAAAGGAAAAGAGGAATTTATTCTCCATACAAAATTTGTTAATTTTACCAATTGCCATTGTTTTAATAAGCCATTTTTTACCATATGGTGCTGAAGTTCATTTCCAGCATCTAGTTATATAAAGTTTTTGAAGGAACCAACAGATTCAAAATAAGGAGTCTTAAGAGTGGAAAGGATTTGCTTATATAGGCTGTTTAACAAAACAGTCCAATGTTCTAAAGTTCTTGCAGATTTTATATATGCCCCCACCCAAGGTGATGTCAGGTAACTGGCAGGTGGCATAGTTTGCTCGAAACAGCCACACATGCCAATTTCAGAGTCAGATGGGCCTAAGTAGGCCTCCAGCTTGGAAGCCCACCATAACTGCCTTAGATCTCTCTGTGTGTGTTGCTGCTGCTTGAATGGTACATTACTGTTGCCAGAAACTTTTCACACTTGGTGTGGAAGCTTGTTCATGTTTCCTTGGAAGTAAGTCCCACTCACTCCCTAGTTAAGGTTTGCAATCTAAATGTGTCTAGTGTTAAACTGACTCATTCTGTAAAATAACCTGGAGCAAAACTACTAAATAGCTTTGATACCAGCATGCTTTCTTTGTGGCTAATTGATACATATTTTAAGAAACATGTTTTCAAAATAAAGATTTATTTATTTTTTGCCTTGCAGCTGGATTGCAGAATGAGGTGGTAAGGTTCTCCCTAATTTGTATACTTGGCTTCTAGAGCATAACACTTCTCCAAGTTGTATGGCAACCTTTGTAAGGAGTTGATGTTGATGTTGATGAGGCATTTTATAATGTGACCCAAACACTTTCCAACAGGATTCCTACTACTCAGTGTCCACTAGTCTTCCCACCCTCTGAATCAAGTGCTAATAGATCAGAAAATCTCAGATAATTTTTAAATGTAATTTATCAGAATTTTAAAAGTAAAGAACAAGAAACACACAGACGAATATACAGTGCATACAGAAATTTACACATGTCTAGGACCAGGCCTTTCTTGCTTCTCTCCTGTTAACTTTTGAGTTAGTTCCTCTCTGCTAGGTCTTTCTCTTCTTCCCGTAGCTTGTATCTCTGTGCCCATGGCCTTGGATGGTTTCTATCTCCATTCAGTTCTTTCCAGCTGGCTCCCTTGATCTTTGTCTGCTCCTTGGTCATAACCTCTCACACAGTTCCTTGCTTTGCTGTTCTTGACCACATAAGCTAACACAGCACACTATGTTCCACCCTGAGATTCCTCATTTAAACATTTCCCTATGCTGTCCTTGCCAACACCTTGTGCTCAACAGCTTTCCGTTTAAAAATATTGCACATTCTGTCTGCTGCGATTTTCTTCTGCTTATATTTAAAGTTCTGAAGTGCTTTTAGCCACAATATGCTTTTAATCTTATGGTTCTGTGTCCTTATAGTTTTGAGTCCCCTTGAGTAATCAGAAAATGATTTATTATCTGTAAAATTATATGTAGGTGCATGTTTTTCTAGTCATACACCCACCCACTGGTTTCATGGGTACAGGAGTTGTGGAAATATGACATATATATATATAAAATGTGCCTAAACTTTCTTTTTGCATGTGTGTATTTTCATGTGGTATTTGGGACGCGGGTGGTGCTGTGGGTAAAACCTCAGCGCCTAGGACTTGCCGATCGCATGTTCGGCGGTTCGAATCCCCGCTGCGGGGTGCGCTCCCGCTGCTCAGTCCCAGCGCCTGCCAACCTAGCAGTTCGAAAGCACCCTCGGGTGCAAGTAGATAAATAGGGACCGCTTACTAGCGGGAAGGTAAACGGCGTTTCCGTGTGCGGCTCTGGTTCGCCAGAGTAGCTTCATCATGCTGGCCACGTGACCCGGAAGTGTCTGCGGACAGCGCTGGCTCCCGGCCTATAGAGTGAGATGAGCGCACAACCCTAGAGTCTGTCAAGACTGGCCCGTACGGGCAGGGGTACCTTTACCTTTTTATTTTCATGTGGTTCTTGTATTGAAGTCCATTTCATGCACAAGAGACCACAGATAGCTACTAAAAAGCACTCTTTTGTAATGTGAAAATATTATGATGCTTGGCTTAAAAACTGCTAGATTATTCTAATTTATCAATATCTTTTCATTGTAAAGGATGACAATCAGATTATGCAACATCAGTCAAAACCACCTAAGATCAAGTAAGATGGAGTTCTTTTTTAACATTCTCTATAACAGTACTTAGTGTTTATAGAATAATTTTCCTAAGAAATGCCTCAAAAGAAAGCCAGAACCAGTGGGACTTTCCTCAGCCAAGCCACTCCAGGTGATCTACTATAACCTGTCGTCCAGTGGAAAGGGTTCCAGGAGAGGGAGCAGGAGCAGGCTCCAGCAGAACTCTTCTACCCTGCCCCCCAGAGTAATATACCATCAGCTGCCCTATGAGTAGCAACCTGGTGGTGTTTTTTTTAATTTGTCACTATTGTGTTTTGTGTTCTTAAAATACATAATTGAATGTTGCTTGTTAGCTGTCTTGGTATTAATTATATCCTGAAATGCAATGTAGACATAATCATAATTTCATTAGAACGTATGGGACACTCTGAATAATTTTGTAATTTGACCTTCGTTTCTCGCTATAATCCTGCCTATGAACACTACACAGCCAACTTTACCGCCTGTGGTCTTGAACTCCCTTAAATTACTGCCCATTTGCACTTGTTTTCCCCATGTTTGGAAGCCCCTCCCTGAACATAAGGTATAAACTCTGTTTCCTGAGAACCCATTCATTCCACGTGGGCTCTGTCATATTTATCCCCTTAATCTTCAGTTCCAGCTAGCCAAGCATTTAGCTGGGTTTGCCTGAATTCTGCTTTTCCTCCCTTCCTGTCTTGTTTTTGTCATTTTGTTCATCTCAGATTGTAAGCTACTGCCGGCAGAGATTTTGCCTTTGCAGCTCAGTACATTGCCATATGCACTGGTGACACTGTGCAATAATTAATCATCTTTATAGCTACCATACAGGTAGCACTATGGTCTAAACCACTGAGCCTGGGACTTGCCGATCGGAAGGTTGGCGGTTAAAATCCCCGCGATGGGGTGAGCTCCCATTGCTCGGTCCCACTTCCTGCCAACCTAGCAGTTCGAAAGCACATCAAAATGCAAGTACCGTATTTTTCGCACCATAGGACGCAGTTTTTCCGTCTTAAAAACTAAGGGGAAATGTGTGTGCGTCCTATGGAGCGAATGCAGGCTCCCTGGCTTCAGCGATAGCAAGGCAAAGCCTCCGAAGCCTGCGCTCCGGAGGCTTCCCGTTGCTTCCGCTGAAGCCAGGAGAGTCTGCTCTTTGAGGCTGGCGGGGGAAAAGCAGCGCTTCCCCCATCGCCAGCCCCAGAGGATGGGGGGCAGCAGGAAGGCGCGCGACGCCTTCCCGCTACTCTCCAACCCTCCTGTGGGCTTTTGCGGGAGATGGGGGAATTCCCCAACCTCCCGCAAAAGCAGGCAAAAGCCGCGCGCTCTTTAAAGAGGCTCCGTGGCTTCTGCTGGCTTTTCTAGGAGGTGGGGGAATTCCCCCACCTCGCAGAAAAGCCCGCAGGAGCCGCGCACCCTTTAAAGAGCGAGCGGCTCTTGGGGGCTTTTCCCCAAGGAGGGAGAAGGGACTGACTGGCTGAGTCAGTCCCTTCTCCCTCCTGCGCGCTTTTGCGGGAGATGGGGGAATTCCCCCACCTCCCGCAAAAGCAGGCAAAAGCCGAGCGCTCTTTAAAGAGGCTGTGCGGCTTTGCTGGCTTTTCTAGGAGGTGGGGGGATTCCCCCACCTCGCAGAAAAGCCTGCAGGAGCCGCGCACCCTTTAAAGAGCGAGCGGCTCTTGGGGGCTTTTCCCCAAGGAGGGAGAAGGGACTGACTGGCTGAGTCAGTCCCTTCTCCCTCCTGCGGGCTTTTGCGGGAGATGGGGGAATTCCCCCACCTCTCGCAAAAGCAGGCAAAAGCTGTGCGCTCTTTAAAGGGGCTGCGCGGCTTTGCTGGCTTTTCTAGGAGGTGGGGGGATTCCCCCACCTCGCAGAAAAGCCTGCAGGAGCCGCGCACCCTTTAAAGAGCGAGCGGCTCTTGGGGGCTTTTCCCCAAGGAGGGAGAAGGGACTGACTGGCTGAGTCAGTCCCTTCTCCCTCCTGCACGCTTTTGCGGGAGATGGGGGAATTCCCCCACCTCCCGCAAAAGCAGGCAAAAGCCGTGCGCTCTTTAAAGGGGCTGCACGGCTTTGCTGGCTTTTCTAGGAGGTGGGGGGATTCCACTGTCCACTGCTCCCAGAGCTGGGGGGGGGGGAATCATATTTTTTCCTTGATTTCCCCCCCTGAAAACTAGGTGCGTCCTATGGTCCGGTGCGTCCAATCGTGCGAAAAATACGGTAGATAAATAGGTACCGCTTCAGCGGGAAGGTAAAAGGCGTTTCCATGAGCTGTTCTGGTTTCGCCTGGCCACATGACCCTGTCATGCTGGCCACATGACCCAGAAAAACTGTCTGCGGACAAACGTCGACTCCCTCGGCCAGTAAAGCGAGATGAGCACTGCAACCCCAGAGTTGTTCGTGACTGGACTTAACTGTCGGGTCCTTTATAGCTACCATGTACAGTAGTTGGCTAGTATTAGCAGATTCCCTAAGTGTCCCTATTTAGAGAAGCTGTCCTGGTTTCTGATTTGATCCTGGAATGTCTCACATTTCCTTAGGGCATCCCTGTTTTCATTGGAGAAAAGTTGGAGGGTATGGAATTATCTGACCCCCAAGCAGTTTGAAGGCAATCTGGTATAGGGAAGTGTTTTTATGTTTAATGTTTTATTACGTTTTAATATATGTTGGAAGCTGCCCAGAGTGGCTGGGGCATCCCAGTAAGATGTGTGGGGTATATATAGTAAAATGATCCTTATCGAAGAGGACATCCCTATTTTCAGTGGAGAAATGTTGGAGGGTATGTATTAGTATTCCCTCTTTATAAATGAGGGGTTGGGGCTAAGAGAATGGCTAAAAGAATCTTTTTGCTTTCTGTGTTGGACTCCTTGAAATTGAATTATTTGATTAATGTAAAGTGAAAAAGTTGAGCTATGATTTCTGGAAAATGATTATTCCAGACAGCCTACTGGACAAACTCAGCTCAACTCTCAGGTGGCACATAAGAATATAGGCATCTAGGACCAGGATTTTAATGGTTTCCTGTTTTTCGAAATTAACTTATTTGCTGCAGAATCCCTTAGTATCTGGCCTGGAGCCCTGTGCATTCTGTTCTTGTTCAGCGTTAGAAAGCAGATAGGTATAATTAACTCTTGTGACTCAACATCATTCCAGAGAGAACTTCCCTCAAAAAATAAAACCAATACTTGACTACTCTGCATCCAGACAGAAGAGAGCAGATTCCAAGGCGTTAAAGCCATTGGCAAACCAGAGGTTCCTGAAACAATATCCATCCATAGCCCCCCCCCCCAAAATAATAATAATCTTGATGGGTTTGGTTTGGCAGATGCACACCCTGACCACACCAGACTCAACAGCTTCTGCGTGGTCAGCATCCAGTCCACAAGCTCTGGCAAGCTACACTTTTCCTTCCTTTCTACCACCTTGTTTCCTAATAGGATTGCAAATCCCAGCCAGAGGGGAATCTGTGCACTCAACTTCTTAAAATGTATTAGCTACATAGTGGCCAAAAAATGTAGCTGCGTGGGGGAGGTGGAGAGCTCAGAAGGGCAGGAGGAAGCTCCTCTGGTCATTTTGCATATAACCTTTCCTCCACTGATCTCTCCAGAATCAACCCAGAAATAACAGCCGGTAGGCTTATGGGTCCCACAAACAACATAAACTGACATCCATCCTGACAAAATAAAATTGCAAATTTGCACAGCTTGCATTCCCACTCATTACATAATCCTGGCCAGGAGCTAGTGATCTGCTTTACTACCTCTATTTCAATTGCGATTTTTCTGTTATTCCTACAAACTTCCACAACAGCAAGATACTGCATCCATGAGTGGCATGCTAGGCTTTCTACCGCTGGGGTAGATACAGAGCCAGTGCCCCAGTACCCGGAAAGGCAGGTGGCAGACCAGGGTAGTGTTCTGGAGATCTGGGGTGGGGATGTCCTGCTTCCTCACATTTCAAGCATTTCCTCCAGCAAGCATCCTAATAATAATAATAATAATAATAATAATAATAATAATAATAAAATTATATGCCACCTATCTGACTGGGCTGCTCCAGACATTCTGGACAGCTTCCAAACAAATTATAAAACCACAGTAAAACATCAAACATTAAAAACTTCCAATATACAAGACTGCCTTCAAATGTCTTCAAAAAGTCAAATAATTGTTTGTTTCCTTGACATCTAATGAGAGGGGATTCCACATGGGGGGATTGACTACTAAGAAGGCCCTCTGCCTGATTCCCTCTCAGGGAGGAAACCGCCAGAAGGCCCTTGGAGTGTCTCAGTGTCTGGCTTGAAGGATGGGGTATTCTGGACCAAGGCCATTCTGCTCCTTTGGGTATTCTGGACCAAGGCCATTTAGGGCTTTAAAGGCCAGCACCAACACTTCCAATTGTACTCTGAGGCGAACTGGGAGCCAATGTAGATATTTTAAGACGGGTATTACATGGTCCCAGGGGCAGCTCCCAGTCACCAGTCTGGCAGCCGCATACTGGATTAGTTGTAATTTCCAAGTCACCTTCAAAGGTAGCCCCACGTAGAGCGCATTGCAGTAGTCCAAGCAGGAAATACCCAGAGCATTACCACTCTGGTGACACAGTGTGCAAGCAGGTAGGGTCTCAGCCAGTGTACCAGCTGGAGCTGGTAGACCGCTGCCGTGGACACAGAATTGACCTGTGCCTTCATGGACAGCTGTGAGTGCAAAATGACTCCCAGGCTGCACACTTGGTTCTTTATGGGCATATTTACCCCACTCAGGACTATGGAATTCCCCACACCTCCCTGCTCCTTGTCTCCCAGAACCAGTACTTATGTCTTGTTGGGATTCCACCTCAATCTCTTGACTGCCATCTACCCCACAACCGCCTCCACACACTCACACAAGACATCCACTGCCTTCACTTGTTTCGATTTAAATGAGAGGTCCAGCTGGGTTTCATCTGGTGAACACCCAGCCCAAACCCCCTATTGACCTCTCCTAGCAGTTTCCTATAGATGTTAAAAAGCATGGAAGAGGAGTCAGAGCCCTGAGGCACCCCTCAAGTCCAGGGATCTGAACACTCACCTCACCCAACAGTACTTTATGGACATTGCTGAGGAGGAATGAGTGGGTTCACTGCATAGCAGTGCCCCCAACTCCCAGACGACCTAGAAGATCCAGGAGGATACCATGGTCAGTATCAAAAGCTGCTGAGAGATCCAGCAGAACTAGGAAACTGCTTTCATCTCTGGCCCTGGTCCTGTCCCACTGGAAGTCATCAGCCAGTGCAACCAGGGTGGTTTCAGACCCATGATGTGTTGATTGCAAGTGGTCCAAATGATCCACATCCTCCAAGCGTGCCTGGAGTTCTTCTGCGACCACCCGCTCAATCACCTTGTCCACAAATGGAAGATTTGAGATAGTGCGATGAGAGAAACCTGGTCGACAAGCAGCAGCAAGAACAGAGCCAGCTACCATGTCCAACCAGGTCAATTCCTCCATACACAATCAGTGGCACTGGTCTTATGAATCATTAACCTGGCATTGCACAGCACTACTTTAAGGGCATGTGGGACACCCTTGTTGATACTCTTTTTCCAGCTGTGCATTTTCTTCTGGAATCTGTTCTAAGGCTCTCATCAAATAGTCTTTGAAACTTGCTGAGACCATCTATTGCGGGAGCTTACTTAAAGGTAATGCACTTGGTTGCTTTCATGTCAACTTGAAGAATTAATGAACTTGATGCTCTTTGGTTAGAAAGGAGCTGCATCTTCCACTTAATATACTGATAATTCTGGGGACTGATCAATCCTCCATTCTTGAAAATGAGTATGCAATTCCACTCCAAAAGGCTTGGACCATTGCTTTAGGAGGATCCATGCTCAATTCCTGGATGATCCATTTCCTCCCAAGGATCATCATTGACATTCATGTTTGACATAACAAAATAAAAAATAAAAAATTCCTTCCGGTAGCACCTTAGAGACCAACTAAGTTTGTTATTGGTATGAGCTTTTGTGTGCATGCACACGAATCTGAATAGTATCTGAAGAAGTGTGCATGCACATGAAAGCTCATACCAAAAACAAACTTGGTCTCTAAGGTGCTACTGAAAGGAATTTTTTTCCTCCAACTACGGCAGACCAACACGGCTACCTACCTTTAACTAAATGTTTGACATAGTTCACATGGGCCCTTGTTCAGAGGGAAGGAGTTGGGAAAGTCTTGGGAAGCAATCAGGATACAACAGTGGTATATTCACATAAACTAAAATGCTGGTGTTTTTTTTAAAGGCATGACTGGTACCAAACAGAATCTCATGTAATTGTAACTATTATGATCAAAAACGCAAAGAAGGATGATGTAAACATACAGTTTTCAGAAAAAGAGGTAAGATATGCATAAAATTCAAACTGAAATCAAGGCACCCTTAGGTTATAAATGTAGTTCTTTTCAAAGTCATTTCTTTGAGTTCAGTGTAACTTCCAAGAGAGTGTGTGCTTATTACAGCCCAAGATAAAATCAGCAGCTTTATGCTTGGATGGGAAAAAGTGAGGCTTTGGGAAATGTTGGTGCAGGTATTATCTAATATTTATATTCTCTGTATTGTTCTGTCGTGCTGTTCACTAAATCCTAACTTTAATTATTGGGACCCCCCGGGTTTGGTTAATTATATTGCAAGTATTCTTGTTTTATCATTTACATATTTTAGACAATAGAATCAAAAATTCAGTGAGTTGCTGCTTTATATTCACACATCTTGCTGGGTATGGAAATGTGTGAAGCATAAAGCAAAAGAAGAAGCTGTGTCTCTTTTGTCCATTTAATTATTTATGGCTTTTGGTAACTTTCTACAGTTAATGCAATTCTTTACCTAAAGAATGCACATCAAACTGACATAACAGGCTTTCTGAGTACCTACTTGATGACTAAGAACATTAATCTTCTGTTTATGTTCTAGCACACTTTGAATTATCTGTTGAATAATTCAATATAAATTGCTGTTTGAAATTCCTCTCTTATACTCGACACAGATTAGATGTTCCCAATGAAAGGTCTTTGCCTTCATTTCCTGGGAAATGACAGAAACACTAGGAGGCCTTTTCCTTGTGTTTACTACTGATTATGTTTCGTATTATTAACAGCTAGATGTATTCGTGAGGCTTTCGTCAGAGGAAGACTACAACTTAAAGCTTCATTTTCTTCATTCCATAGTTCCAGAACAAAGTACATTCAAAGTTCTTTCAACCAAGGTAATCTTTTAAAGAACAAATTATTTTGTTAGATACTTGTCGCCAGGGTGGATTTGATGACGATTTAAATCACTAGTCAGTAATATTTGATTTAAATCATATTTTTAACAGAAAGGCTCTTTCTTGCTGGTATAATCTTAATATTTACAACCAGATGAAGGTTTCATTTTTGGAATAATAACTTTTTAGAGTAGTTTTTACAGTTATATAAAAAATAGCTGATTCAGTTATACTATTAGAAATACGTAGACCGATAATTATGAAATTATTGTGAGGTTTAATAAGTTAACTGTTTATATTTGGACAACTTTTCTGCTGTACTTTATTGGAAGGAGAAAAATAAATAAATAATCATTTCCTTAATAACAATTTAAACAATTTATTTAACTAAAACAATAATGTTATAGCATATGTATCCATGTTTGTTAACTGATGTGGTTAGAGACTCTTGTTTGGATGATGTCAGGCGAGCCCTGGGAACTAGTGTGAACTCTTTATTAGTTGACAGGCAAGCACTTCAAGGTCTCGCCAAGTTACTATTTCCACCACCCCCACCACCCCCTTTGGGATTTGCTTCTACGTTCAGGTGCCTATTCTGTACAGTTAAGTGTTAGTGCAGTTGTTGGAACCCAGTGGGATTGGGAAGAGGTTGCCAGCCCTGAAGTGCCTTCAGCACTTGCCTCAAGTCTGAATTGCACAGATATGCAACTGACTTACACAATTATTACACAAAGATTCCAAGACTTGTGGAGTATTCTGCTCACAAGGTTGCATTTTCATCTTTACTGCTTCACACTTAGCTACTTGTGCAAATCTATTCCACTCCAAACCATCTATTCATTGAAGAGGTAAGGGGTTGATTCTGTGTGTATAAATTTGCAAAGGAACAATGGATTAAGGTTTCTTCCTCAACGCTGTATGTTTATTTTATAACATTTTTCCTCTGAAGACACAAATTCACACTTTTGATAACAGCAAAAACAAGCATCTGTGATAATATCTTCTTGTTAGAAAAACTGCCCCAAATAATCTTACAGAAACCTCTGGAAGAGTATGACATTATGAATAGATTAATGGAATTCATTTACCAAAAAAATTAAACATTGCATATAAAGCCTCATGCTACATAATTAAAAACAAACCCTTATTTCCTGATGAATAGCCTTTGGACTATTATGTAATTTAAGCAGAAAACAATATTTAGAAAGATTTTTCCTTCAAAAGCATTTTTTTTTAAAAAATCCAATTTAAAATTTAAAAAAATCAATGTTTTTAAGAAATCATTTATTTTTATCCTCCCTGCTTGTCACTTACTCATATTTGTAACATGCGTTTTTACCCTCTCCCCCCAAGAAAAATCATGGGTGGTTAAGAAAAGTAGTTTGTGTGCATGCTTCTGCAAATGACTTAGGCTGCAGTCCTAAGTATGTTTACCTAGCAGTAACCCCACTGAACACAACATAGTTTTGTTGTCATCATTTAGTTGTGTCCGACTCTTCGTGACCCCTGGACCAGAGCACGCCAGGCACTCCTGTCTTCCACTGCCTCCTGCAATTTGGTCAAACTCATGCTGGTAGCTTCAAAAACACTGTCCAGCCATCTCGTCCTCTGTCATCCCCTCCTCCTTGTGCCCTCAATCTTTCCCAACATCAGGGTATTTTCCAGGGAGTCTTCTCATGAGGTGGCCAAAGTCTTGGAGCCTCACCTTCAGGATCTGTCCTTCCAGTGAGCACTCAGCACTGATTTCCTTAAGAATGGAGAGGTTTGATCTTCTTGCAGTCCATGGGACTCTCAAGAGTCTCCTCCAGCACCATATTTCAAAAGCATCAATTCTTCGGCGGTCAGCCTTCTTTATGGTCCAGCTCTCACTTCCATACATCACTACTGGGAAAACCATAGCTTTTACTATACGGACCTTTGTTGGCAAGGTGATGTCTCTGCTTTTTAAGATGCTATCAAGGTTTGAAATTGCTTTTCTCCCAAGAAGCAGGCGTCTTTTAATTCCGTGACTGCTGTCACCATCTGCAGTGATCATGGAATAAAATAAGAAATAAAAGAAATAAAATCTCTCACTGCCTCCATTTCTTCCCCTTCTATTTGCCAGGAGGTGATGGGACCAGTGGCCATGATCTTCGTTTTTTTGATGTTGAGCTTCAGACCATATTTTGCGCTCTCCTCTTTCACCCTCATTAAAAGGTTCTTTAATTCCTCCTCATTTTCTGCCATCAAGGTTGTGTCATCTGCATATCTGAGGTTGTTGATATTTCTTCCGGCGGTCTTAATTCTGGCTTGGGATTCATCCAGCCCAGCCTTTCGCATGATGAATTCTGCATATAAGTTAAATAAGCAGGGAGACAATATACAGCCTTGTCGTACTCCTTTCCCAATTTTGAACCAATCAATTGTTCCATATCCAGTTCTAACGATAGCTTCTTGTCCCACATAGAGATTTCTCAGGAGAAATAGCTTACTTTTGAGTAAATATGCATAGGATGGTGCAGCTTTAATAAAATCAGTTTGTTTTCAGCTAAAACTTGGAAATTCAGAATGGTGGGTCAATTTCTGTACTAAATATGCAGTTATTGTAGAATGCATTCTCCCCTGCTGATATCTGAACTAATCAGTCATGTCAAATGATATAGAGGTTAGCATTAATCTTTTTTTAGGGCTGAACAATGAGATTCAGAGTCCCCAACACAATGAGTTGCTGAATCCTGTTTTATGACAGATTTCTTTAAGATTAGTTGACTACTTAAAAACAAGAAAAAGAAATGATGTTTCATTATTCAGATCTTGCAGGTAGAAATTGGTGGCTGCCTTGTGGATCCTTGATAAAGTTATGAATGCAACCTAGGATTGGAGGAAGGCACAGAGGTTAAGCTATTGGTACCAGTTTTAAAAGAATGGTTTATTTCACTTATTCAAGAGCTCTCAATCATACAACCTATTCACACATGTTCTGCAGGGAAATAGCTACTAAAGATAGTTGCTCTGTCTAATTAGAAAGCCAGCCTAGTAGCTCAAAGGGTGCTGGCCAAAACTTCATGCTGCTCCTTCAGCCCAAAGTTCTTACATTTTTCTTATTAAGCACAATCTTCCTTGCAAATATTCATTGAATTACACAGCCTTAAACTGGCAGGTTATGCTTAAAATTCTACAAGGAAGGCTCAAGCAGTATGTGGACCGAGAACTCCCAGAAGTACAAGCTGGATTTAGAAGAGGCAGAGGAACCAGAGACCAAATTGCAAACATGCGCTGGATTATGGAGAAAGCTAGAGAGTTCCAGAAAGACATCTACTTCTGCTTCATTGACTGTGCAAAAGCCTTTGACTGTGTCGACCACAGCAAACTATGGCAAGTTCTCAAAGAAATGGGAGTGCCTGATCACCTCATCTGTCTCCTGAGAAATCTCTATGTGGGATAAGAAGCTACAGTTAGAACTGGATATGGAACAACTGATTGGTTCAAAATTGGGAAAGGAGTACGACAAGGCTGTATATTGTCTCCCTGCTTATTTAATTTATATGCAGAATTCATCATGCGAAAGGCTGGGCTGGATGAATCCCTAGCCGGAATTAAGATTGCTGGAAGAAATATCAACAACCTCAGATATGCAGGTGACACAACCTTGATGGCAGAAAGTGAGGAGGAATTAAAGAACTTCTTAAAGAGGGTGAAAGAGGAGAGCGCAAAATATGGTCTGAAGCTCAACTTTAAAAAAAACGAAGATCATGGCCACTGGTCCCATCACCTCCTGGCAAATAAAATGGGAAGAAATGGAGGCAGTGAGAGATTTTACTTTTTTGGGCTCCATGATCACTGCAGATGGTGACAGCAGTCACGAAATTAAAAGACGCCTGCTCCTTGGGAGAAAAGCAATGGCAAACCTAGACAGCATCTTAAAAAGCAGAGACATCACCTTGCCAACAAAGGTCCGTATAGTAAAAGCTATGGTTTTCCCAGTAGTGATGTATGGAAGTGAGTGCTGGACCATAAAGAAGGCTGATCGCCAAAGAATTGATGCTTTTGAATTATGGTGCTGGAGGAGACTCTTGAGAGTCCCATGGACTGCAAGAAGATCAAACCTCTCCATTCTTAAGGAAATCAGTGCTGAGTGCTCACTGGAAGGACAGATCGTGAAGCTGAGGCTCCAAGACTTTGGCCACCTCATGAGAAGAGAAGACTCCTAGGAAAAGACCCTGATGTTGGGAAAGATGGAGGGCACAAGGAGAAGGGGACGACAGAGGACGAAATGGTTGGATAGTGTCTTCGAAGCTACCAGCATGAGTTTGACCAGACTGCGGGAGGCAGTGGAAGACAGAAGTGCCTGGCGTGCTCTGGTCCATGGGGTCACGAAGAGTCGGACACGACTAAACGACTAAACAACAACAAACTGGCAGGTTCACTGCACTCAGATTATAAAGCCTTTCCTTGCCTTTGGACTAACAAGAGTGCCTCTAAGCAAATGGGCACAACTATTCTAAAATGTGACATTATTTTAAAATCTGTTATTTTAAGTCCTGTCTATTTAGGATAGCCCTGAATAACCATTTTTCTTTGGTAATCTTGCTTAGACCTTACATTCATATAAAATACACCATCCATGCTATTTTGAATTATTATGTTACAAATAGCAATATTAAAAATAAACATGAATACATTCACAAACTTTTCAGACTTATTTTGTGAAATAATATCTGACTTAATATGATGCATGACAATACTAGCTTGAGTTTTATGGCTGGGTAATAAGGCAAAAGTGAGAAGTAAGACCGACAACCCCTAGCTCGTAGCAGGAACAATCCTATTCAGGGCTCCATCCCATCAGCTTTCCTGCAGGATACTATGACAGGAAACTCAGCTGTGCAGTTGATCCATCAGTTGAATTGCTGCCCATCGGATTTCTGTGCCACTGAAACAATTGTGCTGTCGGTGACAGAGCTGGATTAAGGAACTCTCACAAACTGCAAACGGGGAATGCAACTCTATCCAGAACTGGT